GGTATGCGTTACCTATTTAGTTTTAGACTTTCTTTATAGTTTTTTTACGTGATAAAGACAGAAAGAAATTATTACCTGGGTCCTCAGAGTTATTAATTAATCCTCTTTAAAAGATTGCAGGTCAAGTGAACCCTCATTTGCAAAATAAAGATATATCTTTCTCTCTCCATAACTTGTTCTTTTCTCTGTCACCGAAAACCCAGCAGGGGTCCGGACGGAATGAATGAATGGACGGAATGAAGGAATGAATTCAAAGATTATTATAGTTAATGTAAGGTTAAAATTTAGAAATAAAAGTGTTAATATAATAATATTAATAATTATCGTTGCCTCAAATTGCTTTTTTTATAACTTTTGAGATTTGAAGTGTTACACTTGAAAAATTTGTCAGGCTTTTAGATATTTCTTTTAATTGCTTCATTTCTTCATCGTAGAAAATCCTTATGAATTTGACACATTCTTGATTCTAAAAAAATTGTTAAATTATAAAATAAAGCAAATATGAAAAAAAGAAATACACAGAAAAACAATTGTACCAACATAAATCCATCAAAATGATAGAATTTTTTTTAGTCACCCGATAGCAAGAAAATTTTTTAAAGTGAATGTAGCTTTGAATCGCTACGTAGCGAAATCTTCGTAGCGCTATCGCTATTTGTAATCCCACTCCAGATATCTCAAAAAATTTTGAAAATTTTGAAAAATTGTTTGTGGGCTTTCATTCTGTACAAATAAAGGAACATATTCACAAGGTTTTAATAAAATTGCTCCAATCATCAAAAATTCTTGTGATCACATCCCATGGAATTGCTCTATTTTAAAAAATTCAATTTTTCGTTTTCTTTGAGAAACATTATGTAATATACCGGTAAAAATTTACATAAAACCTAACTTCATAAAAAATAAGTATTATTCAAACTGTCTTGATATATTTTACTTGGGATAATAGTGAAATTGCTTTTTTTAAGTATTAGTTCATGAATGAAATGAATGAATAAATATATTTACAGAAAGATGTAATTTCATATTTTACCGGAAATATGACATCTGTTAGATGTCATTTCAACTTGTAATGATCGTATATTTTTAGCCCATAGGATTTGCTCGCCGGATAGAGCCAGAGTATTCCAATAAAGTATTTTACTAGATTTTAAAGTAATCAAAACCTTTCTTTATTTAGGAACCTTACTTTTATCTGTGATTTTGATAGGAGAAGAAAAGTCAATAATAAAACATTATTTGAACCTTCGAAAGAAACTTGTATTGTAATAATAAAATAAAGCAATACAAAAGTAAAAAAGTACAAATAAAGTAATCGTAGTTTTCGTTCTTAAACTGTCGGTGCAGATCAAACAAAAAACTATAGCAGAATCTAGAATTTAAAATGTGGAATGAAATTAACAATTTTTTTAATTTTTTTTAGGCCTAGTCTAGTCTGAGAATAATTCAATTCCCTTTTGCCTTATTTTTCCGACTATTCTCCGAAGCTATTTTATAAATTTACTACCGGATTCACGTCGTCGAACGAAGATAGATTTCGTGTACACTATAAATTGATCAATGATCAATCAGAGGACTAGTCATCATGAGGCTACCTGATGTTCATGCCCGACGCGAAATACTGAGAATAATGTTTCCACAAGATCTCACCTCTATCCAGAAAATATTCTGAGATAGAGGATCAATCTTGTAGTTCTGATGAAACAGGAGATACCTGCACTTATCGGGAATCGAGTCGCAAGGAAAGGAATATGAAAGATGACTTCTTAACAAAAGTACCTATAGAAGAGTCTGAGAAGGCGAGGATGATTGGCACTAGGTTTCCAAGATGTTCACTAGACGCAGAAGTACCTATAGTCTAGTGTATGATTTTCTCTAGGAACCTATATACTGAGAGAAATACCTCTACAATATACAGCCTAAGAAAGATGGTTCTCTGGTACAGAGAAGTTCACTGCACACAGAAGTACCTATAGTCCAGTGTACGCCCTCTTATGTATACTTGTATTCAAAGAGAAATACGTCTACTGAAAATAGAGTATTCCAGGCGTGAGGCCGCATCCACTGGCTACGAAAAGTGACTCGACAACCAGCGGAGAACGTTCTGACAAATAACTCTGAGCGAGCGAGGTATAATCACTCGCCGAGGACTAGTGGGAGGGCGGGGTGTGGTAGGAGAACAGATGTGTGGTAATAGGAGCTGATTGTCGTTATCTCTATACTAACTAACGACTCCATTCATGAACTAACAATTAAAAAAACAATATCACTATTATCCCAAGTAAAAAATATCAGGACAGCTTGAATAAAACTTATTCTTTATAAAGTTAGGTTTTATATAAATGTTTACTGGGAGATTACATAATGTTTCTTAAGGAAAATGAAAAATTGAATGTTTTAACCTAAAAAATCGATTTTCTCAAAAACAGCTCGATAAAAGATTTAAAATTTTTTTGCAAAATACTCAGGAAAGTGTCCACATTCAAGATATGAAAGAAATTTTACAGTGAAAGAACTTTTGGGTTAAAGTGTGTTAAGGACCACCGTTCTATTTATTTTTTTAAATTTTTTTCTCTTCCTCCTATTCTTTCTTTTTTAATTCGATATTCTTTGTACATTTTTTTTAAAGAAAATGTTTATTTTAATTAAAAATAAAATCGGACAAGTGCGAGTTACACTCGAACTAAAATCGAGGGTTCCGTACACGAAGCGAACTTATTTGGTATAAAAACATATGTTTAAAAAATATAAGTTTTATATGTCAAATAATGTAAGTGATACAAAAAGGAACAATTATCTTAAGATTTCTTAAAAAATTGTTTTTTTTGTATCACTTACATTATTATTTGACACATAAAACTTATATTTTTTAAATATATGTTTTTATACCAAATAAGTTCGCTTCGTGTACGGACCCCTCGATTTTAGTGCGATATCCGATTTTTTTTATAAGTTTTCATGTTAAAACTTTAAACTCGTTTTTTCTCGAAATGACATTTTTCAAAACGGTCAATATATAGCGTGAATAGGAACAATTTTAATTTATTTCATTGTTGCTGGAGTGGGATTACAAATAGCGATAGCGCTACGAAGATTTCGCTACGTAGCGATTCAAAGCTACATTCACTTTAAAAAATTTTCTTGCTATCGGGTGACTAAAAAAAATTCTATCATTTTGATGGATTTATGTTGGTACAATTGTTTTTCTGTGTATTTCTTTTTTTCATATTTGCTTTATTTTATAATTTAACAATTTTTTTAGAATCAAGAATGTGTCAAATTCATAAGGATTTTCTACGATGAAGAAATGAAGCAATTAAAAGAAATATCTAAAAGCCTGACAAATTTTTCAAGTGTAACACTTCAAATCTCAAAAGTTATAAAAAAAGCAATTTGAGGCAACGATAATTATTAATATTATTATATTAACACTTTTATTTCTAAATTTTAACCTTACATTTTTTTATAATTAATAATTATAAACAAATAAAACATAATAATAATAAAGAAATAAAGAAAACATTTATTTTACAAATTTCTATTCTTACAAAAAATCAAGAAAATAATTCAACTTTATCCAATAATAATAAACTATTTACTTTTCTTTTTTATATTAATAATTAAATATTTATTGCATTTATATTTATTATCTTTTTCATAGGATTTAAAGTTTCTATTAAACATTGTCTAAAATGGGAAAAAAAAATTAATTAAAAAAATTTTGAAGATATAACCTCGGAAATAGAATTTTTGTTCTTACGCAAGGTTTCACTAAAAAAATGTATAGGGCATTTTGTGTAAGTTAAAGAGTTTTTCAAGAAATGAAAATTTAAATCAATTTAATTAAAAAATTTATCAATTTTTAAATTTAGGCTTGTAAAGAATATCCTAATTTAAAACCTCATGCAATTATTATTTTTAATTCTTGCAATAAGATTAATTTTCTTAATTTTTATTTATTAAATTAAATTAAAAAAATTTATTGGCGATTCAAACAGCTACACTAGCGCCACAGTTGAACTAATTTAGGCGTGACTCGCTCTGTAGCACTCCATGTGTTTTAAATTATTTTTTTTTATTTAACGCTTAAAAATAATTTTACAAACGCAATAAAAATATCAGAATAATTAAATAATTTGAAATAAACTGTCAAAACAGAGACTGCTTTAGAGCGAGTCACTATAGTTAATTATTTTATTTAAAACTAACAGTTGGCAAACATGAAGTTAGAGAATTGATTCCACCTTCATGTTGTATTTGTTTGCTACGTAGATAAAATATTTTAGGAAATTGACATGAATTCTATGTCAATGTCCTTATCTAGAGGGGTTATGTTTATATTGTCTTCTAAATTACCATCTTGTAATTTAAGTTTTAAAGAAACTGTCAACGGTATTTTATTTTGGTCATGATTTGGAACAAATTTCACTAAAAATATGTAAGTTTTCAATTCTAAATAACAAAAAGCGCTACATAGCGACTAGCGCTAATAGTAATCCCACTGATGTTTACTTATTTATTATTTTCTGTTTTTTTGATTATTCTGTATTATTTTATATTATTTATTTCATGACACTATTGTCCTTTTACAATTTTTAATATAATATAATATAATATAATATAATATAATATAATATAATATAATATAATATAATATAATATAATATAATATAATATAATATAATATAATATAATATAATATAATATAATATAATATAATATAATATAATATAATATAATATAATATAATATAATATAATATAATATAATATAATATAATATAATATAATATAATATAATATAATATAATATAATAAAATGTTTTTTCTCTGATCTGTCTACACAAAAGTGCACTGTGCCAAAAAAAAAGAATCGCCAATGTTAACTCAAGATTGCGCGTACGGTGATTTATTTTTGATCACTTTGATCATGACCTGCTCATCAAACAATAGACGATGATGAAAAACTGCTGCTGGTGATAGAGTCACTGATTAATTGAAGGTGTCTGATACATTCGTTTTTACCGAAGTGAACTTATTTACAGTTTAAACATTTTTGTAATTTAATTTTTTCGATTTCTCTGTTTTCAATCTAAATTAAAATATATTTGAGTCATCAAAAGTAATATAATAATAATAACAATAATTTTTAATTTAAATCAATAAAAAAATAGCTATGTATCAGTATCTCTGAGTTATAAATTTAAATTTTTTGTTTCAGATAATAGGGTATTTTATCAAATTTATTTATATTGAACAATATAAGTCTCATGTTACTTCCATAAGTAAGCAAGTTTTGTGAAACGATGGCATCAAGTCAGGTGAGAAATTTTTTTTATATCCTTTTTTCTTGTCATATTATATTTGATTTAATTTAAATTCTTATTTTATATAATTTCCATTAAATTTATTGGAAGGGAGAACTAAAAACAAAGATTAAATGAAAATATAAGACGTAATTTTCTTGTAAAATATTAAATTTAAACAATACATTTTAATATGTAGCTTAGGGTGGTCCTTATTTAATGGTGTCTCAAAGCTCTTGACTTTTTTTATGTATTTTAAATGGGAAAAAATCCCGATTTCGTAAATTTGCTATAAAACCGATAAAAATTAATTTTTTTCAACAGGATATTTTTGTTTTTCTTTCCAAAGGTTAAAAGAATGTTATGAAAAAAAATTGTTTAAATATAATTTTTATTTGTTTATTAATGTTTAACCCCTTTACTGTTTGAGGAAAATACGGCATGAATGACCAAAAATGACCAGCAAAACCAGTTCAATGAATTTTCATAAAACTTAGTATGCAAGGGTTTTTGGGGTTGCTGATCACGAATACGACATTAGTTTTGCGAAATTTAAAATGTCGGGCATAATTTTCTAAATTGATCCAATTTGCTTGAAAACTGTTACTCGGGGGTTTTTGGGGTCGCTTATTACGAATCTGCAATTAGTTTTCTGAAATTCAAAATGGCGGATCCAATATGCTGAACAATTTTTTAAAAAGGATCGGATCTTTTGAAACTTGTTACTCGAGCGTTTTTTGGGACATTTTGAATTTTGAAAAACTTTTGTCACAATTCGTAATCAATGACCCTGAAAACCCCCGAGTAATAGGTTTTTAATACAATCCGATTAATTTTTTATTTTGTCTTCCGCCATATTGGATCCGCCATTTTGAACTTTGAAAAACTGATGTCAGATTCGTAATCAGCGACCCCGAAAACCCCTGGGTAACATGGTTTAGACGAATTTGCCCATTTTTAGTTATTTTGATTCGGTATATTGGATCCGCCATTTTGAATTTTAAAAAACTGATATTGAATTCGTAATCAAGTCTTACATTTTTTTCAATTCTTTAAATCATAATAATATTAAAATGTTAATAAATTAAATTAATCTATTAATTTTATTGAACAAAATTATTTTTAATTTTAAGTGTGGTTTGTTTACATACTAGACAATAAGTTGTTGATAATACAAAAAGAAATACATGAAAATAAACAGTATAGGATGAAAACAGAAATTCGTGGAAATAATATAATATAATATAATATAATATAATATAATATAATATAATATAATATAATATAATATAATATAATATAATATAATATAATATAATATAATATAATATAATATAATATAATATAATATAATATAATATAATATAATATAATATAATATAATATAATATAATATAATATAATATAATATAATATAATATAATATAATATAATATAATATAATATAATATAATATAATATAATATAATATAATATAATATAATATAATATAATATAATATAAATTTAATAATTTACATTTGATATATATTCAATCTATATCTATTTTATTTTAATTTTATTTCTTAAAATGTTATTGAAGGATTAATAAACTGTCAAGATGTTGATCAACAAGTTTCATTGTATGCGACACGAAATTCATAATTATTTTTGTATTGTGTCGTGTAGTTCAGCCCCACGATACGATTCTCAAATTTTTATTGTGTCTAGTCGCGCCACGATACTTTTGGAAATTCGTAAACGTGTCCAGTCCTGCCACGATACGATTACAAATTTCTAAACGTATCGTGCTTCGCCACGATACAATTATGAATTTCTTAACTGTGTCGGGTCGTGCCACGATACGTTTGAAAAGTTTTAAAAGTGTCGGGTCTCGCCACGATACTTTTAATTGTTTTCAAACGTGTCGAGTCGCGACACTACACGGACACGACACAAATATTTCGAGACAGTCCCTGTGAATTGTCATATTATTTTTAAAAAAATGTAATTGAATTGTACAATATTAAAATTGTAACTTGGAAAAAAAAGTAATTTTTCATATTTAAAAGCAAGATAGAATTAATTTCAGAAATATTAGACAGCGCCACCTAATCTACTTTACCAACATATACAAACTACTAATTAAAAAACCAAGGATGGGAAGATACAGCAAAAAATCGTTGACACATAAAGTTATGACAAATGGGAATTATGTCAAATGAAAATTATGACAAATGAACAGTATGTCAAATACACATTATACTAATTTAGTGTTATACCAATTAAAAATTATTACAAATAAACATTATGTCATAAAATAGTTATGACAAATGAACATTATATCAAGTACATTTTATACTGCATGATAATTATGACAAATAAAAATTATGAACAATGAACATTATGTCAAATTAAAATTATGTCTAATGAACATTATGTCAAACTTAAATTATGCGAAATAAACATTATGTCAAGTGCTTATTATAAAAAGTTAACATTATGTCAATCAGTAATTATGACAAATAACAGTTATGACTAATAAGAATTATGACAAATGAGCATTATGAGAATTGTAAATTATGACAAATTAACATTATATCAAATAACAATTATGTTAAATTGAATTTATGCCAATTAAGAATTATTATAAATGAAAATTATATTAAACAATCGATGTGACGAATAAACATTATATCAAATATATTTTATACTAAATGATAATTATGCCAAATAAAAATTATGACAAATGAAAGTTATGACTAATAAGAATTATGACAAATGAGCATTTTGTGAAATGCAAATTATGACAAATGAACATTATGTCAAATACACATTATACTAAATAAGCGTTATGTCAATTGCTGATTATTAATAATAAACATTATATCAAACAGTGATTATTACAAATGACAGTTATGATTATTAAGAATTATGAAAAATGAGCATTATGTCCAATAGTCATTATGTTAAATTAGCGTTATACCAGTTAAGAATTATTACCAATAAATATTATGTCAAAAAGTAGTTATGACGAATGAACATTATATCAAATACATTTTATGATGAATGATAATTATGCCAAATTAAAATTATGATCAATGAAAATTATGTCAAATAAAGATTATGACAAATGTATATTATGCCAAATAAAAATTTTGACAATTGAAAGTTATACCGAATATAACTTATACTAAATAAACATTCTGTCAAATGCGAATTATGCTGAATAATTAGTATGTCAATTAAAATTTATGCTAAAGTAAAATTATGACCAAAAAAATTATGACAAATATTGGTTATGTCAACTGGTTTTATGTCAAATGAATATTATGACATTTGAGATTTGGGGAAAATTACGGCACCACCCGAGTGACAAGTATCAAGCGAATCGAATGGCTTTTCGAAAATTGGTCCATGTGGTTACCCAGCAAACACGTTCTATAAATGTTATATAACAGTAAGGACCCAGTTTTATAGAACATTTGTTACAATCTGGTTATGAATCTGTTATATAACCTTATTGTAACAGAATTCTAGAACATTGTTACAAGGGAGTTATCGATCTGTTCTATATTATGCTAACTTCACAGTTCAGTAACAATGTAATGTAACATTTTTGTAACACAATCATCACAAATGATCTGTAACTGACGTTCCAACATAGTTCTAGAACTGTATCTAAAAAATGTTATGTAGCTGTTTTAAAATTTTGTTGCAGATTAATTCTGGTTGACATTTGTACCTACAAATCGGAACAATTCTGCAACAGTGTTACATAACATTTCTATAACATTACAGTCACAAATTTTCTGTAACTAATGTTCCATCGCATATCTAGAAATATATCGGAACAATGATATGTAACTGTTCTAAAATTTTAATGAAGTTCATTCCTGGAATATATTTGTACCTGAGATTAAAAATTTTGAAGTGTTTATAAGTACCTTAACTATTTTCTATGGAATTAATAAATAAATAGTTCATTTTACTTAAGTATGTAGTTACATTTAAAAACTCTAAAATTTTTATATATCACATAGTTTTGTTTTTTTTTTCTTTATATAAGCAATACAGTTTTTAAATCCTCCTCAGTCTCAAGTTATCAAATCAATTTTGTATTTATATCCCCATGCGAGGGTAGCGGAATGGTTAGAGTATTAGCCTGTGGAGCGATCTTGTTATAGAACATTTGAAATTTGGCACTGTTCTAACTATGTTTATTTTAGAGTTTCCTTTTTTTATTACATCAAGTTTTAATATTTTTATTAAGAATAAAAAATATTTTGCATGTATTTTTAGGTAATAATCTTGCAATAGTAATTATATACCATTTTATAGTTATTACAAAACAGTTCCAGAACTGTTACAAATACATTTGTAACCATGTTTTAGATCTGTTACATAATCTTACATATCCGCTGAGTATGACATTTTGCGTAACCAGTGACTCACAGGTTCTTAACAAGTTACAGAACATGTTCTTAAAAAATTTGTAACAGCTCTATAACTGACATGTAACAGTGTTTGCTGGGTATGAAATTGTTTAAAAAAATTAAATTTATACGCCATTTTTTGGCAGCCATTTTAAAATTTCATTTTCTCAATAATCCTATCTTGTAACAAAAACATTTTTGACGCGATATTTATAACATTTAGAGGTATTCTTAAGGGATTAGCTATAAAAAAATTACAAAAACTGAAAAAACACTAAAAAATTGTGTTTTTTTTTAAAAAAAGGAATTAAAATTATTTTTTAAATTTTTCGTTCTTTTTGAGCACGCCATTCGATAGAGCGATTCTTGAGACATAAGAAATGTTTATTGACAATTTTTTATCGTTACGTTTAAATGTTGAAATATGGACATAAAATGTGTGTTTTCTTGAGACTTACAACATTTATCTAAAACATGTTTCGAAATTTTGCGTTTTTGTTCGAGTTAATCGCAAAAAACCATGAATTTATGGTTTCCACCATGATTATCAAATTTGCTCCAATTTCACTATCATTTTCGTAATCAGCGCACCAAAATACAT